TCGGCACAATTCATTAATACAAAATACTTCAAACAAGAACAACTCATGGCTGAAGAGTCTTTAACAGAAACATATCTGTCTGGCCCGTGCAATCTCTAATGGTCTAATGAAGTGGTTCCCAACCTTCCTAATGCCGCGACCCTCTAATGCAGTTTCTCTTGTTTTGGTGGCCCCAAACCATCAAATTATTTTCGTCGCAAATTCATATATGGTACATCACATCTTTAATTAATATGTATTTTCCGATGGTCTTAGGCGACCCCAGTGATAGGGTCGTTAGACCCACAAAGTGGCCGCGACCCACAGGTTGAGAGCCGCTGGTCTTGTACACAATTTAACCTGATGTAGCAGTTACCGGTTAGGGTGATGCTGAAGTTTAGGCTGTTTAAAGCTTCAAGCGAAAGGAATGTGTATCTTTAATGTCTATAAAGCCTATAATTAGGCCTGTTCCCGTCTATGGTTAATGCACCAAGTTGACAACAGTTTATATATATATATATATATATATATATATATATATATATATATATATATATATATATATATATATCTATCTATATATCTATCTATCTATCTATCTATCTATCTATCTATCTATCTATCTATCTATCTATCTATCTATCTATCTATCTATCTATCTATCTATCTATCTATCTATCTATCTATCTATCTATCTATCTATCTATCTATCTATCTATCTATCTATATCTATCTATCTATCTATCTATCTATCTATCTATCTATCTATCTATCTATCTATCTATCTATCTATCTATCTATCTATCTATCTATCTCTCTCTCTCTCTCTCTCTCTCTCTCTCTCTGTCTGTCTGTCTGTCTGTCTGTCTGTCTGTCTGTCTGTCTGTCTGTCTGTCTGTCTGTCTGTCTGTCTGTCTGTCTGTCTGTCTGTCTGTCTGTCTGTCTGTCTGTCTGTCTGTCTGTCTGTCTGTCTGTCTGTCTGTCTGTCTGTCTGTCTGTCTGTCTGTCTGTCTGTCTGTCTGTCTGTCTGTCTGTCTGTCTGTCTGTCTGTCTGTCTGTCTGTCTGTCTGTCTGTCTGTCTGTCTGTCTGTCTGTCTGTCTGTCTGTCTGTCTGTCTGTCTGTCTGTCTGTCTGTCTGTCTGTTCTTCTTTTTCTTCTTCTTCTTCTTCGCGTTCACCAGCTGAAACTCTGGCGGAAGGTTCTGGTTGCTCGTCCACTACTCAACTGCAGTCCTGCTTCAGAACCTGAGTGTTGCATGTGCATCAGTTTTACAGATCTCATTCTCTTGAATACAGACTGTTGGTTCCTTGCCTCTCCGGCAGATGCACTTCGACTTCAAAGGAAGCAAGCTCCCGAAATAGTCGACTCTTACGACATGCTTTTGGGGAGGCAGTGGGTGTCTTTTTGTTTTTCCCACAATGGGGTCTTGGAACCCACACGGGGGTATATATATATATACCTCTCTCTCTCTTTCTTTCTCTTATATATATATATTAATATTAACACATTGCATTATGTGGAAAATAGAACATACACATATACACGCACATACACACTTACACAGAGAGAGAGAGGTGAGAAAGAGAGAGAGAAAGAGAAAGAAAGAGAGAGAGAGAGAAAGAGAGAGAGAGAGAGAGAGAGAGAGAGAGAGAGAGAGAGAGAGAGAGAGAGAGATTATTACATCCACACCTTTGTCTTGTTAGGAAGTTTGACATGCTTACTATCATACCTATTTGTGCACACCTTTCAGAAGAAATGTATATTCTGTATACATTTCATTGTAATGCTTACGAATGTTGGCAAACTATGTTTCTACCTTCTAAATGAGGTACGATAACATGCTCTCAACAAACTGCATAGTTTCTGTCTGGCCGATATCGACAGTTTTGCTTCTCTCATTTGATGATAAGAACTTTAGTGTTATTCTTGTAAATTACCAGACTCTCCCTCTCTCTCTCCCCCCCCCCTCTCTTTCTCTCTTCTACTTCCTCTTTCGTTTCCTCGCATCTACCCTCTCTCTTCTCTCTCTCTCTCTCTTCTTCTTCTTCTTCTTCTTCTTCTTCTTCTTCTTCTTCTTCTTCTTCTTCTCTCTCTCTCTCTCTCTCTCTCTCTCTCTCTCTCATGTAAACACTTTTTGTCACATTTCCATACATGTTGAATGCCTGTCTGTCTGCACGAGGATCTCTCACACATGCAACATCTTTCTCTAAACATTTCCCAGTGCCTTGTCTCATCCCTTCCCCGCCAACGCTCACACGTACAAACACACACACATACACAACACATCTAATCTATATATTTCTCTAATTCTCCCACACTCACACCACACACTCACATGTGACCTCATTCTGTCCCTCTATAAAATATTCGCTTCACCCCCCCCCCCCCCCCAACCCCACCCATACACAATCCAGTTATGACCTTATATCGGTGACTGTACATTCTCTACTCCATTCACAAAACGACACGTCAACCCTACCCCGGGTAATTGCTCGCCAATTCTCGGGTGCGCACTCTGTGCAGAGGGCGCGGTCTACTTTCCCCTCATGCAGCTCGCCTCCGCATGCGCCGTGGAGCTTTTACCAACGTGTTTACTCCAGACTACAGGTTGACTCAAACTTGAAAAAGATGTGTGACCGACCGTTCACTTTAAAGATAATTGTAATAATATACTCACGGTGTTATCATTTTTCTCCCTCTTCCTCATCGCTTTAAGTTCAGTAGCCGTGAATTCACAGGAAAATGTTTAGTTCAACGTCCACTTCTGGACTTTGGTCCCATTCCAGAGCTTGAATTTTGCATGCACATCCGTTTTACAGATATGGCTTAGTTGTATACAGACTGCTGGTTCTTTGATCCTCATGTAGATTTACTGAGTTTTTTTAAGGGAAACAAACCAAATTATTCGTCTTGTACGACATGCTTGTTCATAGCAGTGTGTCTATTCACACCCCCCCCCCCCCCAAAAAAAAAAAAAAAAACCAAGGTCTTTGACTTCCAGCTTGCCTACGTGGGTTCCCGCCCCACTCTCGGCAATAACATAATAGACTCACTAACGCCTTAAGTAGCATGTCGTAAAAGGCGACTAAGTAGGGGTGTATCCTTCGAAACACACACACACACATGTACACACAGACACACACAAACACACACACCCCGGACACACACACACACACACACACCGGACACACACACACACACACACCGGACACGGATATTGATCGCACATGTTCCCCATCAGTCACCGTAGTGCGGGAACTCAGTGTGGCAATGCCATGTTTCCTTCACGCTGCAGACTAGATATCGCTTGGCGACTAGTTACTTAAAGACAGTCTGTTTTCCTGGACTGGATGCATCCCACCAGTCCCAACCACTCGGCGATCAATGAAAGAGGTGTGAACGGGAGGTGAACTCCGGAATGGCATCAAATTTTAATGACTTATAACTATCCACGGCTTAGGAGGTGTCAAAATTGCTACTATAGGTGGCAATGATGATTGTCATTATGTCCGGGTAGAGGGTTCCACGATGCCTGTCGTGTGGGGGTTTTGAACCTAGGGCTCTGACAGATGCATCAAGCATGGCAGCATTGTCCCGGATCGTTATGGTTGTAGACTGCTAGAAGTAAGATATTGATGACTTGTTCATAAACCACTGGGGTATCTATCTATCTATCTATCTATCTATCTATCTATCTATCTATCTATCTATCTATCTATCTATCTATCTATCTATCTATCTATCTATCTATCTATCTATCTATCTATCTATCTATCTATCTATCTATCTATCTATCTATCTATCTATCTATCTATCTATCTATCTATCTATCTATCTATCTATCTATCTATCTATCTATCTATCTATCTATCTATCTATCTATCTATCTATCTATCTATCTATCTATCTATCTATCTTTATGTCTGTCTGTCTGTTGGTCGGTCGGTCGGTAGGGCGGTCTGTCTGTCTGTCTGTGTGTCTGTCTGCATGTTGGCTGTCGATCGATCCATCCATGCACTTCTCGTGTGTGTGTGTGTGTGTCTTTGTCTGTCTGTCTGTCTGTCTTTCTGTCTGTCTGTCTGTCTGTCTGTCTGTCTGTCTGTCTGTCTGTCCAGTCCAGTCCTGTCAAGTCGAGTCGAGTCGAGTCGAGTCCAAGCCAATCCAATCCAATCCTATCCTATCCTATCCTATCCTATCTTATCTTATCTTATCTTATCTTATCTTATCTTATCTTATCTTATCTTATCTTATCTTATCTTATCTTATCTTATCTTATCTTATCTTATCTATCTATCTATCTATCTATCTATCTATCTATCTATCTATCTATCTATCTATCTATCTATCTATCTATCTATCTATCTATCTATCTATCTATCTATCTATCTATCTATCTATCTATCTATCTATCTATCTATCTATCTATCTATCTATCTATCTATCTTTATGTCTGTCTGTCTGTTGGTCGGTCAGTCGGTAGGGCGGTCTGTCTGTCTGTCTGTGTGTCTGTCTGCATGTTGGCTGTCGATCGATCCATCCGTGCACTTCTCGTGTGTGTGTGTATGTCTTTGTCTGTCTGTCTGTCTGTCTGTCTGTCTGTCTGTCTGTCTGTCTGTCTGTCTGTCTGTCTGTCTGTCTGTCTGTCTGTCTGTCTGTCTGTCTGCTGAGACCGAGAAGCCTGACTAAAATCATAAGTTAAAAAAAAAAAATTGCTACGCTATTACTGTTTGCTTGGCGTCTGAAATTAGGTCGTTATGATGCGTGGCACAGGAGTGGCTTAAATAATCGCCACCTTGTGCACTTTTTCCTCCTCTGTACAGAAAACATTACTGCTTCAGTAGGTCTATGTTAATTCTGGAATCTGTTTACAGCAACACGATAGAAGCAGAAGCCAGCTGATACTTTAGGAATATTTCATTAGACAGTTTACACTGAATTTGTTTCACACGTAATGCAGCCGAGAAGGTGTTTGATGTCAGGTTCTAACCCTTGTGTGTGTTTCTCTCCACTGTACTTCACAGATGCGTGTGGTCTGTCAGACATGAACCATATTGAGAGCATACAGGAGAAGTCGCAATGTGCGCTGGAGGAGTATGTTAGAAGCCAGTACCCGAACCAGCCCACCAGGTGACCTACAGCTGTGTGCTTACGTGTGTGTCTTCGTGTATGTTGTTTTTTTGTAGCGTTTTCTGTGACGTGGGATGTGTAAGAGTAGGATATATGTGTCTCTTTTCTGTGTAAGAAGTGATGTTAACTAAACAAGAGATTGGAGACAACACTGACACATAATGTTAGCCTGGTTGTCTTAGAACGATCGCATGTAAACTAATTAAAAGATTGGGAGAAAAGTGGGATATGTAATGATTTTCTCTTTGTCTAAAAACTGAAGGGGAAAAATGCAGAGATTGACAAATTCTAGGATATATGATATCTATCTGCTTGCTCGGGGTTTTAAGGTTTGAATAACGAAACACCATCATGGCACATGGGTAGTAACCCATAAGTGCTCCGTTCTACTTCTAACTCAAGCCCGAGGAAGCTTAGCACAGTGCACAGGCTCTGTAGCACCGGTGAGGATCCTGAAATACTTTGGGTAGACTTTAAACTCTAAATTTTGCTGGGACAGCGCCATTAGGCTACTCTTTTCGATTTCCACCTTTCAAGAGATTTTTTTGCGTGCCCAACAATGCACACGGGCGTACGATCTCACTACCCAGTGACCAGGGGGAATTACTCGAAGTCCAAGTCCACGTGAAAAATCCCAGCCCTTACCGGGGATTGAACCCGGAACCTCTAGTACTCGAGGAGGACACCATGGTTCGAGACAGGGCAGCCCCTCCCCTCTCTGCTTGTTAATGACATTGTAAACTAATTGGAGAATTGGAGGATATAAAATAATTTTCCGCATGTCTAAAAACTGTTATGGACTAAACGTGAGATAGGATAAAATTGGTATATCTAATGTTTCTCTATTTGTTCAAGAACTGTTGTGAACTAAACGAGAGACTAGAGAAAATTATGATACATAATGTTTTTCTACCAGTGTAAGAACTAACTCATGTAAACTAAGCGAGAGATTAGGGAAAATTATCACACATAATGTTTCTATACCAGTGTAAGAACTAACTCATGTAAACTAAGCGAGAGATTAGGGAAAATTATCACACATAATGTTTCTATACCAGTGTAAGAACTAACTCATGTAAACTAAACGAGAGAATGGGGAAAATTATCATACATAATGTTTATCTACCAGTGTAAGAACTAAATCATGTAAATAAACTAGAGATTTAGGAAAATTATGACACACAATGTTTCTCTACCAGTGTAAGAACGAACTCTGGTAAACCAAATGAGAGATTGGGGAGAAAGTAGTTCACACAGTTTACTACTTAAGCAAGAGACAGAAGGATGTATTTTCTCTGTTTGCACACGTCTTTATGTCTGTTAGAATGTTTGCACACGCCTTTGTGACTGTTAGAATGTTTGCACACGTCTTTATGTCTGTTAGAATTGTCTGTAATTCCACACTTTCGTAATCTAATCGCTATCTTCGCTCACTAATTCTATGTCTTTGCCCCCTTTGTCCGTCAGACGTTATCTTTTGACTTTTCAAAACTGTTATCTGTCTGTCTGCCTTGTCCGTCTATGTGCTAATCTGTGTGCCCGGTCGCCTGTTTTGCATGTCTACGTCCAATCGTCTCTGTCTTTTAAATTTGTTTATAAGGAAAACGATTTGTCCTGTCATTCTATATTACAAGAAGACATAACCACTTCTCCAACAGATGCCTTTATTGTAATATTTCCATCCTTAAGTAACTGAGACTGCTTAAATGTTTCAACAGGTTTTATTTAACTCAACCTATAACAAGCATTTTTCTGCGTGTTTCAGATTCGGCAAACTGTTGCTACGACTTCCGTCTCTAAGAACAGTCAGTGCACAAGTGATCGAGCAGCTCTTCTTTGTGCGTCTGGTGGGAAAGACGCCAATCGAAACCCTGATCCGTGATATGCTTCTCAGTGGTGGATCTTTCAGTTGGCCCTACATGGCTATACAATGACTTCCAGGCCACACCTGGGCCACAGGAAATCGTTAGCTTGCTTAATGCAAGGACTCGAACTTAGTTCAATTTCCCCGATGGTCCCAGAATGTGTGGCCAACTGTACAAACTATATTTTCTCCACTTGCAGCTTCTTCGTGCCTGATGTAAAGTAAGCATCAGTGCTAATCGGTCAGGTAATATTGGCATGGCAACCATGTAGTTATCTACTGTACACTCGTGACACTAAGAATCTACGCTGATGCGCCCATACTTGGCGGCAACATTGACAGTCTGATTTTCAAAAGCTAGAATAAAAACGTGACCGACTGATTTCAACCCTTGTCTTAGTCAAATATCTAGTTTGCATTTCCGCTTCCCGAGAGGAGATCGTTCACATGCACTTACGCGTGACGATGATCGTTTTATCTACTTCAAAGTGCAAAGACAACTTTACCATGACTTTGTATAGAAACACACTTACATTACGACCAATTTTTGCCAGTACCACTTACACAAATCACTGTGAATACATTTCCTTACGTGACGATACCATGTTTTTGACACAGTAACTACATAAAGAATTCGCCGGCGAACCCTTGTGGTCATAGAAACAGCAAGTTAAACACTCACATTTACTGAACAAACCTGGAAGATATAGAAAGAGGTAAAGATATGCGCACAGACTTGATAAACAAAAAGTTTTAAACAATATCTACAACTTTTAATATGTATGTTGTCTAACTGTCCTACCCAGCAAGCAGGACACGTTGTTGTGCTTTAAGTAGCATTTACGTATTCAGAGGAAAGAAATTTAAATTTGAGGACACACACACACACACACGCATAAAGGCAAACGCTGAAGTTTTTTTTTTTAAATTAGTTAAAAAATTGTTACCTATTGTGTGTCTTTATCTCTAACTATTTCATATACATTTATGAGTCTCAATCAATAAGTGATAATTTGTTTATCGCGCCGACAGCAATATTAATTGCATACAATATCTAAAGCTATAACACAACATTTCAAAAATGCCCCTACGAGTCCACTTTCTGGTCACTCCAGAAAGTGAAAGTCACACAGCAGACGTCGATCAACCTTGAACCTTTCACTCGTGATGCATCACTATCTGGTATTTCCAGTGACATATGAGAAAATTACTTCACGTTGCAGCATTTTCTGTGGTGACATATGACATGTGGCTAGTGACTCAACTATATTCAGTGAATATATATGGCAACTATGTGGTAACATTAATTATCTTCATGTCATCCCGATTATAGCGTTGACTGGCAGAGTTACAATAGCATTGGACAAGAGACAATATGGTTAAATACTTGACTAGTTATCGAAATAAACTATGTACTCCTGAGTTCTCTAACATTGTTAGAAATGTGGGAACTGTTCTACTGCGCATTGGAACAATTCGTGATGGCAATGGCAGTTAGATAATTAACATTCTTGTTCTAGCTAGGAACTGATGTCACTTGTTTAGAATAACTGCTTTGTGTTTCATTTACTTGTACTTTTTAGTTTGTATTACGAATGAGAAAGATTTTTGTTTTCGTTCTTCTGCAATAAAGATTCAGTCCATGTAGATATTATTTCAACAATGTTAATCAATGATATTTTGAGTCCCGGTGGCATGGCGGCGGTGCCTCTGCCGCACCAGACAGACGTTCAGATCAATCCCCAGAAGTGGCAGGGTTGTTCTAAGATTGAAAAATCCTAATGTAGACGACAGACCAACAGGGCAGGTCACAAATACCTCGATCAGCCCTTAAATAAGTTATAACTATGGCGCCTGAACGACTACACCAGCCAGATGGAGCCTGGTCCTGTGTGGGTAAGGACGATGGCTCTGAGTCCACCCAGCTTCATCTAAACAGGGAGCAGAATTGTTCGAGTTCACCGGCTGTAAACTCCGGTGGAAAGTTCTGGTTGTTTGTCCACCTCTGAAATTTGGCCTTGTTTCACAACCTGGGTGTTGCGTGCACATCCGTTTAACAGATCCGACTTAATTGTTTGCAGATTGTTGGTTCCTTTCCTCTCATGCAGATGCACTCTGCCTTTGAAGGAAGCTCCCAGTTAGTCGATTTTTACGACATGCTTTTTGAGGAGGCGGTAGGTCTATTCTTGTTTTCCTAACAATGGGGCCCCGGAACTCAATGGGGAGTGGTCAGACGATTTTCATAATTTCGGGTGGGGGGGGGGGGTAATGGGTTGGGGGTGGGGTACGGGTGGTGGGTGGGGGGGGGGTGTAAACGCTACGAGGAGAAACAGGCCACCCGGTCTCAAATGTTGCCTTTTCATGTAAAAGAAGGCAGGGTACGTAGTTTTCCTCTTGCACGACTGAGTCTGTTAATTTAACGGATCAACCTCTTGGCACAAGGGTTTAACCCATAAGGGCTCCGTCTTTCTTCGAACTCAAGCCTGAGTCTGAAGGATCCTAGCACGAACAGAGTGCACCAACTCTGTTGTACAGGCGAGATCCTGAAATACTTTGGATAGATTTTTAACTCCAAATTTTGCCCGGGCAGCGCCATAGGGCCGCTCTTTTCGATTTCCAACTGCCAAAGGATTTGTTACGTGCGCAACAATACACACGGGCCTTCGGTCTCACAACCCAGAAATCAGGGGCAAATTACTAGAAGTCCACGTGAAAAAATTCCAGCTCTCACCATGGCTTGAACCCGGGACCTCTAGCACTCTAGCGGACACCATACCTCAAGACCACGCGGCTCCATAAATAATAAGAACCAAAACAGGTACAACTCCTAGAAACTCCGTTCAGCCGAATAAAACAAGTAGGTTTTGGGCATTCTAGGGCAACGGTTCCCAACCTTCCAAATGCGGCGACCCTTCATTACAGTTCCTCATTTTGTGGCGAACTCCCAACTATACAATTATTTTCGTCGCAAATTCATAACTTCAGTGAATATGGGTTTTGCGATGGTTCTTGGTAACCCCTGTGAAAGGGTCCTTCGACCCAAAAAGGGGTTGCGAACTATAGGTAGAGAACCGCTGTTCTAGGACATAATCTTACCCACAAGCGGCATCTGTTTCACCAATACTGAAATTGACAGTTTTTATGCCGCCAGATGTAACAAATAAACTTTTATCTATCTACACATATTTTTCTTTCTGTGTTTGGTTAGCTGTCAGGTGTGTCGAGAAACAGTAGCTGCTCTTCTTGTTGGGCTGCGGTTGTTAGAAGGTGTATGTGAAGACCTCAGATCCTTGAGGTTGCATTTGTTCTAGAACTACCTTCCCCTTCATCGTGATGTCTATATCGTAACGAAAAAGAAACATAAGAAACCCCCCCCCCCTTTACCCTCCCCCAAACATGTCGTAAAAGGCGACTAAGTAGAACTAAGAAATCAATGTACATTTGAAGTCTTTGTTAACACACATTTTGTAACCTAATTAGTAACATTTATCAATGATAATTAGAAGTCTGTCTATGTTTCTTTCAGAGAGCAGGTAACACTCACTGACCTGGTCAGTCAACGTTTCCGGCGAAGCAGCCAGATGTACAAGCAGACGATTTGCATTCTTATAAATTCATATTTACCCTTTCTTTTTAAAGATGTTAAAAATGACAAAGCTAACAATATTCATGGCGGTTCAGATCCATACTTACGAGCAGATCTTAACGTTATACGTGAATTTGTTGATTGTTTATGGCGCCCTTTAGACATATAACTACATCTAGGAGATAATTCCCAGCATTCCTCTTATTCTTGTTGCTCTTTACGTGGTTTTTTTTTTAAATTTTGTCTTTTGTTTTCTGCTTTTAAGAAATGATCCTTTAGCAAGAACTGGACCTCACTTCCATGTCGATTGAACTTTAAATAGGGACCACGTAATGTCCTGGGAAGTAAAGACGGCTGGCTTAATGCTGACTACATCAACCAACGAGTACCGACTGGTCAATATATAACCCTATAGGTGAAACACCATATGCCTAACGCGTGGTAAGGGTTATTTATGTTACTATTTATCAATGCTTTTCCCGCAGAGGCTTTCCTACTGGATACTCAGGCAGGAAATTATCAGTACAAATACAGCCTTACTCACACAGAAGTTCGGTCAGCTTTAGAGGTTTCAAATGTTGCCTTTCATACTTCTGACGTGATATCTGAGATTTTTTTCCCTCTTAGATTGTCATCTTAAAAGTTGCTCTTTGAGTCACTGTCAAAAACAAAGGCTGCACTCCCGAAAATAGTTTAAGTGGCAACTTATGAAGGCAAGATTCTTCAATATGTTAAGGCAAGGCGTAACAAGTAGGCGGACGCATGATTAAATTACTGAAATCACATTATACGATGTTTTGGACTAGTGAGCCAATATCTGCAGGAGTCGCAGTCACACAGACTTCCTAAACAAGAGGAATCCAATGTCAACAAAATAAACCGGTTATTTGTTGTGTTCAGTTTGTCAGATGTAATTGTTTTTTTTTCCTTTGTTTATATAAATTAAAATTGTTAAAATTGCATTATTTTGTTACCCGGATATAAACGACGTCACGAAGGTCGCATATACTGTGTATACTCAATTTTATTCAACTCATCTTAAAATTGCATGTAAATATTCCATTTCATTCCTATTATTTATGTAGCAGTATTCCCACCTTGTTATATTATGACTATTATTTTTTTATATTTATTACTATTACATGGCTATTAATAGCTCAGTTGTGTTTATGTTATATATTTATTACATTTGTAAGTTTTTGTTTAGAGCAGACTGAAGAGTACAGGAGAATACTATTAAAATTCATTTTCATTTTCTGAAGAAAAAAAATTTAGATTTTGCTTAATTTTTAAACGTTGTGATTTTTATAACAAGATCCTGCAGCTTCTACAGCACCGCGATTTTTTTTTTACAATCGTGCGGGTATTCCCTTTCCTGTTTAGTTAAACCAGGGGTTTTTCCCCCGTTTCTAAGAAGAAAGGTAGCGGCATTCACTACAAGATGTTTTAAAAAAGGTGCTGATGCTCGCCAGAAAGTGTCTAAT